GCTCTCACCGAGGACTCACCGGGGGCCAGGCTCCGAGTTGCTGCCGGCCGTACGCGCTCCAAACCACCCTACCCACGTTGTCCTGTTGTTACCGGGCCGTGGTTGTGTAAGATGTTAACTAGGGGAAGCTGGGTGAAGGTGCAGGGACTTTTCTGTTCCATTTTGGGAAATTTTCTTTAAAAGTATTCCAAAATAATACGTTAAAAAAAAGGTAAGATATGTTTACAGAGGGCGAAATACAGGTTTAGAGAGATTAAGCCATACGCATAAGAGAACACGACAGGATTCAAGCCCAGGTCCTTCACCACTGCCCACCGTGCCCGTGAATTAGTCCACGTTCGCTTAAACGCACAGGCCCTGCCACCACGTGGAAAACAAACCATCTGCACCCACACAGCCTACTGCCTGCGTTAAGGTGATTTTACTATTCATTTGTCTTCACTAGATGTGACACTTTCATTCTGTCTTTATCAACATGACATTACTATTCCAGGAAATTCTTGCCCTATAAGATAAAGTCGCAAATAATAGTATTTACTTCAAGAAATGACCCCTCAAAAAATCCACTTAAATGAGTATCAGACTCTCAGCTTTCAATGGAAAAGATCCAGACTTTTTGAAACCCTCAACTCAAAACTTTCACCTTGTTGTATCCACCTCTAAACTGTCGTGTCATGATCCTTGCCCAATCTTTATCCTGCCTCAGGAGATGTGCCTTACACTCCCGAAACCTCATAAAAATCCTGACTTTGCCTTCCTCCCTGGGAGATTTACTAAGACTCTGCCAAGGTAGTGCTAGCACTCATAGCAATAAATTCAGTTTGGTATTACCAATTATTTTGGCGTTATTTTTGGAAAGCAGAGATCCAACAATATTCTCAGTATTATCAAAAATGCTGTTTGACAAACATTCCTTATGTTTGGAAAAAGGTTTGAATTATTTTAAACATATTTTTTCAATTCTCTTTAATTTTGGGTGGAGCCTTCTTTCTCTTCTGAACAGAAACTTTAGACTTAGTGAGTCATGTATTTAATCAATGAGCGTGTGCGTGTGTGTGCATGTGTGTCTATCTTCTTAACAGTGGTTTTTGTAACCTCAGGAGTGTGTCCTGAAAGGTAACACACTTGTTGCCCGCCCCTGACCATCGGAGCTGGAATGGCTGGAGTACGCCTTCTACGGCCTCCTGAGGAGTCAGAGGGACTCTTCAGAGTAAACAACAAAAAATGGCCTGCCAAGGTTCAGGCGACTGGCCCACAGTGGAGCAGCCCAAACCACCAGGAGGTATTCCGCCAGCGCTTCCGACAGTTCTGCTACAAGGAGACCCCTGGGCCCCGTGAGGCCTTGAGCCAGCTCTGGGTGTTCTGCTGTGAGTGGTTAAGGCCTGAGATACGCACCAAGGAGCAGATGTTGGACTTGGTGGTGCTGGAGCAGTTCCTGACCATCCTGCCCGAGGAGCTCCAGGCCTGGGTGCGGGAGCATCACCCGGAGAGCGGGGAGCAGGCCGTGGCTGTGCTGGAGGATCTGGAGAAGGAACTGGATGAACCAGGCCAGCAGGTAGAAAAAGGGACTGTGCTCAGTGCGGGGATGGTTGGGTGCGGGCATCAGGCTGATCCTTTGTGGGCTCTTGGGATCATGTACACTGTGGGCCCTTCAGATGCCCAGACAAGCCTGCTTGTTCTCAGGTTTCAACCCAGACCTGTGCACAGGAAGTGCTTTCTGAGACATCGGTGCCCCTGGATCCAGCTAAGGAAGCAACGTATCTCCAGCCTCAACCCATGGAGATCCAGCTTAAGGGTGAATCTCAGGACCCTCAACACCAACAGGACTGTGGTTAGTGTTGACACTTGGGGCATATGGCTCCCCTGGAGACCTTAGAATCATTCATCATTCAATAAATACATGTCGAATACTTATTACGTGCTGGGCACCATGCAAGGCGGTAGGTATAGTGAACAAAGCAGACGTGATTCTGGCTTTCACGGATCTTACAATAGTCTGGTGACAGAGGCATTAAATAAACACACAAATGAATGTACCATAACAGACTGCATATGGGGGAAGAAGGTAGAGAAAGCCTTTTTGAGGAAGTAATATGGGAGCTAAATCCTAAAAGTAGAAACTAGCCATAGACGGAAAAGCAAGGCAGGCCTAACAGCATGTGCAAAACCAAGTGGGAAAGAAATGGGTTTGAAAGAAGGCCAGAGTGACTGGAACGTGAAGAGACAGAAGAGCAGAGAGAAGGCCGTCAGGGGCCAGAACACAGGGCTGTGTGGGACCAGGTAAGGAGTCCATACATCTTTAACTTTACTGTGTGTAAGACCCACCTCTGGGTCCTGCGAGAATCCCAGCCCTAGGCAATGCTCAGTAAAGGTGAGCGATGAAGTCCAAGCAGAGGGATAACACAGGATCAGAGATCCGCTCCTTGGCTGAGAGGAGCAGTGCCAACAAGGTGGTCAGAACAAAGTGAGAGCCTGAGAAATTGTGTATTCCTCGCCCGCTTTCTCTCTTTTTTGGTTTTTGATTAGGAACTAACTGGTGCTGCGTAAGCTGGACATTAGCCAGATTGGAGAAGGAGAAGAAAGACCACTTTGAAGACTTGCTGTAGCTTAAGTCAACATTGTGAGGGCCAAAAGTAGGACAGTTTTGAATGGTGATGGAAGGAAGGGAGGGATGAAGAGAGGTCACTTGTCCTAAAGCCCTGGGAGGTGCTGGAAAGACAATAGAGTTGCTCTCACTCCTCTCCTGGCTGGAACAAGGAATCCAGGGTTCAGAGTTGGAGCATTCGTACATCTGATGGGTGGAAGTGACGCCCGCTCTTCCCAAGGGAAAATGGAGTGTCATTGTTAGAAATAGTGTCTACACAACATGAGTTACGCTTTCTCTGTTGTTGTCTTCTTTGTTTTTTTTTGTTTGTTTGTTTGTTTTTTAAATTTTTTTTTCTTTTTCAACGTTTATTTATTTTTGGGACAGAGAGAGACAGAGCATGAACGGGGGAGGGGCAGAGAGAGAGGGAGACACAGAATCAGAAACAGGCTCCAGGCTCTGAGCCATCAGCCCAGAGCCCGACGCGGGGCTCGAACTCACGGACCGTGAGATCGTGACCTGGCTGAAGTCGGACACTTAACCGACTGCGCCACCCAGGCGCCCCTGTTGTCTTCTTTGTTATGCTGAGGGGAGACTTTTAAAGGATGCAGGGTACTTCTTACATATAGGTAGGAGTGTATGAAATTCATGTTTTCCAAATTAAGGTGTTTGGCATAGGATTTTCCTAAAGAACTGAAGCTTGCTGTGTGAAGGTCAAAACTATATTGTATTAGCCAATTAATGGGCATCTTACCCATATGTGTAACAAATTCTTGTAAACTGAACAGAGCCTGTCCTTTTCTTGAAGATATAAGCTGATCATTATGATTAATGATTCAGGCCTGCAGATCACTGCTGCTCTTGGAGACTTTTGGGTAGGAGGGGCCAGCAGCTTATATCCTAAAATGACACCAGACTATCATGCCAGTAAATGGCAGATATGTGATTTAAATATAGTCTGTCTCCAGGACCCGTGTTCTTAATTCCTGAGTACTGTTGGGGTATAAAAATGAGGAAGATGGAAAGTTATAGGAAATGAAACTGAAAAGGTAGGCAGAGACATTTTTAACCTTCACTGTGCATCTGGATGACTTTAAAAATATATAAGTGCCTGGGCCCCACCCTCAGAAATTGGCTTTCAGTTGGACTGCGGTGAGGCCCGAGCATGGACTTTTTTTTTTTTTTTCCAACCCTCCAGGTGATTTGCATGTGTAGCCAGCTAAAGTCAAGAACCCAGTGGATCACGAAGGGGCTGATACACTCAACAGATGAGTTTAGGTTTTATTCTGTGGGGAAGTTAAAGTTCGATATTCAGAAGTTTTAAGTCCTTGGGCAGTTTCAAAATTTGGTAATTTAAACTCTAAGTGTGGTACGTACAATCTACAAATGGCATGTGAAGTCAGAATAATTTTTTTTTTCAACGTTTATTTTTGGGACAGAGAGAGACAGAGCATGAGCGGGCGAGGGGCAGAGAGAGAGGGAGACACAGAATCGGAAACAGGCTCCAGGCTCTGAGCCATCAGCCCAGAGCCCCACACGGGGCTCGAACTCCCGGACCGCGAGATCGTGACCTGGCTGAAGTCGGACGCTTAACTGACTGCGCCACCCAGGCGCCCCAGAATAATTTTTAAAACAATACAAAACTGCACACTTCAGTACAGCCACTGTAGATGTTGGGATAGTGTGGGCCATCTGATCACACAGCTCCTGGAAAGTAAATGGCTGTAGTCACCTGAATTCTAAGTTCTGCTAAGGAGCACAGTTTCTTGAATAAACCATGTCTTTAAGTTTCTGTAAAGAAGTCTGATAGCAACAAAGTCAGTATCGGTGTACATCCCTTAGACCACTTTGGAAAACCTCCCATGGGATTAATTAAACATTGAGAGCACGTGACTTGTTTTTAGTGTTTGCTTATTGATTTTGAGAGAAAGAGAGAGCATGGGGGAGGGGCAGAGAGTGAGAGAATCTCCAGCAGGCTCCACACTGTCAGTGCCGACCCTGACATAGGGCTTGAACTCATGAACCGTGAGATCATGACCTGAGCCTAAATGAAGTCGGACATTTAACCGACTGAGCCACCCAGGCACCCCAAAACCAGTGTCGTTTTAAAATGTGAAATCAGGGGCACCTGGGTGGCTCAGTCGGTTAAACGGCCAAATCTTGATTTCGACTCGGGTCATCATCTCACTGTTGCTGAGTTCCAGCCCCACTTCAAGCCTGCTTGGGAATCTGCCTCCCTCTCTCTCTGCCCCTCCCGCCACTCACCCTCTATCTCCAAAATAAACAAAAGTCAACTTTAAAAATAAAATGCGAAATCAGTTTTTTTCATAGGAAGTTTATGAGATTTCCTGACATATCAGCTATCGAGGCAACATTCCCTCGTATACCTTTCCTGTGGGTTCGGTCTTCCTGAAGTTCGTTCTTTAATAACTACTTCAGGTGCTTTGTGTGTAGGCTTAGTCTTTGCTTATCTGAAAACACCCTAATTTGGCCCTCCCTTTCTAATCCCAGTTTAGCTAGAGTAAAATTCAGAATGACAGGTTTTTTCCTCAGGTTTTGAAGGTACTGCTGGTCCTGCCGCTTCTAGCAGCTACTCTTCTAACTGCTGTAATTTGCTAGTGAAAGGCTTCTGTCAGTCTGAATGCTTTTGTAACATTTTTAGGAATTCCATCTTTTCTTATTAGTAGTGTTTACATTTACTCTTAACCTGTATAAGATGAAGTGTCACTAAAAAGTGTGTCCTGTTAGGGTTTTATTTTTACTCATCTTCCTTTGCCCATAAATGCCCTGTTGCTCTAAGGACCCTTGTTTTTCTTCAGTTCTGGAAAATTCTCCGCTATCAGTTCTTTAAATAATGTGGGTTTTTGTTTTTGTTTTATTCCTTACGTATTTTCTTCTGGAACTCCCAGAACACACTGGTTAGGACCTATTTATCATCTGTTCATTTTGCTTAACTGCTGTTTCACATATATTATGTCTTTGTCTCTGTGGTACATCCCAGGGGAGTGCTGTTATGTTCCAGTTTATTCTCTCGGACTCTGGTTTATCCACTTTTAAAATCTCTATCCAGTTTTTATACTGTCTACTCTTGTTCCATTTTTGCTGATTTTATTTCCTAACTCTGTGTTTATGTGATGTGGATACTATGACATCAGTTATCTGTTTTAGGGATCTTTAATCTTTTCAGGATTTTTGATGAGAATAATTTCATCTGGGTTGAATTCATGTTCCAAGTGATGACTTTGTTAATCATCTTTCCTAGCATTGCATTCATGTTTTGAAATTTTCATGTCTGGGTCCATTTTGAGTTCCTTCCGATCTGCTTCACGCCCTCCCCTTCCTTAGCAATTCTCTCATTACCTGTGCCCCACTCCCACCCCAGAACCGGGGCTCCAGTGTCATGCGGGGAAACACAGACCATCAGTGTCATCACAGGTGTCCCCACAGGGTTGTTGGTCGCCGTGCTGTCCATGTGCTTGTGTGTGTGTCTGTGTCCCACCCAGACTCTGGCATGAGCTGTGAGCTAGAACCTGGCCCATGGCTTCAATTGTAGCTACCGTTCTGTGGTTTTGTTCCCTTTCTGGTCCACAGAGATGTTTGTCTTGTCTTTTTAGCACAGACTTGTTTTAGAGTAATTTTCATTTTTATCACTCCATGTATGTGAAGCTGAAGTGTGAAGTCGCTGTGTTGTCCTGACTAAAAAGCACACCATTTTCCCCAACCTTTTTTAGTGGGTTAGAAATTATGTTTCTGTACTATGCTTTTTCTTTTCCTTCTTTATTTGTTTTGGCGTTTATTCTTTTTTGAGAGACAGAAAGAGAACATAAGCAGGGGTGGGGCAGAGAGAGAGGGAGACACAGAATCCAAAGCAGGTTCCAGGCTCTGAGCTGTCAGCACAGAGCCCGATGCAGGACTCAAACTCATGAACTGTGAGATCATGACCTGAGCTGAAATTAGATGCTTAACCGACTGAGCCACTCAGGTGCCCCACCTATGCTATGCTTTTTAATAATAATCCGTAAGTTTTCTTCTCATGCTGATATGAATTTTAGTTCTATTATATGTGCAGTGATGTTTTAGATCTCATCTAGAGTACATTTTATATTTGCTTATGGCTTTAAAAGACCATGTTCTTGCATAAATGTGTACTTTGTGTAATTTTCCTTTGAATTCTGCACACAGATGTATCTAAGGTAGATGTAACATAAGGTTTTAAAGTGCCCCAAAACTTTACGATAACCACATATAACCAGTGACATGAGATTTTTGTTTTGTCACCCGTGTGGCAGGGTGGTCTGGTGAGTAATGATCGCAGGCCCTGGTCCTAAAAGGAGGCCCGGGAAAAGGCTCCTATCACTCTGGGCAGCTTGCTTCTCTGCTCCACCTCATCTCTGGGTTTTTGCCCTTCATACGTGGATGCCCTGACCCCCATGACGGCTGTCACCCTCCTCAGCAGGGGGCCAGTGAGAGATCTCACATCTACTGTTAGACCTTGGCTCCTTCCCACCCTGCTCCCAGAGTCTCCTTAGCTGACCCATTTGGGCACATTTGGCCAGTGCCTCTGCCTAGGGTTAGGTCTGCCCTTCACTCTGGGTCCTAAAATGGGGTTACTTTCACAGAGAATCTGCCTTGAGTGGGACAGTCTCACTGTTTTCCAGAAACTGTCAACCACTGAGGAAGTGGCCACATCTCCCACCCTGGAGGAGTGTGGTCATTGGGATGCTGCTCGAGGCACGTCTGTAGGAGACACAGGCAGGGCAGTTATGGGAGCATGCCTTCCCTGGGTCAGGACGGTGGGAGAGTCTAGGTCTGTTAAAAGACCCTTCTCTGTGTTGGTGACTATTTACCTGGGGCATCTCAAATGACCCACAGAGCGGAGCTTCAGGTTTGACAGACTCCCAGGTTTTTGGGTTTTCTTTTTGTTTTGTTTTTTTTAATTTAACTTCATTTTTATTTTTTTAAAATTTACATCCAAATTAGTTAGTATATA